AAGCTGCAATGAGCATTTCTCCAGGACCAACACAAAATACCTATTGTGACAACACCATCAAAAACTAGTTTCAAACAACTACGGTTTGTCTCAAACAATATCACATCAACATAGTTTCAAAACATACAAGAAATCGTTTTAAAAGGGGCATATCCGTTTCGCTATCGCATAACACTAATCCATTAAGACGGTGACACACTATCGATCTTTTCCCCGAACAAGACCCCGAACCGAGCAGGGAGAAGGGAGAAGGGAGGTCGAAGGGAGGATGTTCGATAGTGTGTCACGGGTCCGTACACCGATCAAGACGCCGAACAAGACATCAGGCCGAGCAGGGAGACGAGCGCTCTGGAGGCGGTTTTTTGGCGAAAGATCAAAGAAAAGATCGGTCCGATGTACGGTCCGATGTACGATAGTGTGTCACGGTACATTTTTGCCCCGTACATCGTCGCGAGCGCCGCACCGAGCGGCCGCCTTCGCTAGCATTGATAGTTCTGATTTAATATGGCAATTAACCTCTTTAATTGGTAAAATAAATAAATGTTGGGTAATATGTTGCCGTTTTATATAATCATTTAAGATGTAATGTTTGTGGTTTGTTTGGTCAAGGTTGAAAGTGTAGAAACCGTTAAATCAATTATATAAATAATATTAAGGTTGAATTAAGTAATTGATGTTGACTTAAATTCTTTCAAAAATAATATAAACATTAATATTATTAAAGGCAATTAAAATGATCATTCTGTAACGTTATTTCAATGAATAAAACCAATAGAAATCAATAGATATAACTAAGCATCCTTCTAGAATATTTCATTTTTGCGACAAGTTTTCTAAATGCGACTTTTAACAATAATTTTTATGTTATAGAAACTTTTTGGCATTGGTCTGGTGTGCATTTTTTGCGCTCTCACTCGCACACACTCTCTATCTCTCTCCAAACTTCCTTTTGCCGCGCTCGGTAGAATTCGTCTGGTCTTGGTCATGTTCGGGGAAATGTTCGGAGTAAAATTTTGCTGATATTTATCTCCCTTCTCCCTTCTCCCTGCTCGGTTCGGGGTCTTGATCGGGGAAAAGATCGATAGTGTGTCACCGCCTTTAGGCTTGCCTAATGCATGAGCAAGAATGTCGAATTAAGTATGAGCGCAACGGAGCAATTGCTCCAGTGATATGTTGCAACACTAAGTATTGCAATTAGCGGAGTTAGTGCTGCTACTGTTGGCAATTTTACGTGTCATTAAATTCGCCGTCGCTACCGAGTGTTGAGTGTGTGATCCGGTGTGATCGCGGGCAAATGGTTCTATAGGGGAATGATAAAAAACAGTGTTACTTAGTCTGTCTTTTTTTACTTATGAAAGTGTCAAGAATAATGTATACGGATACTTTGAACGCTCTCTAAAACTTTTCTTGTGATTAGCAAAAAGATTGGCCCTTGGATGATTCTAAAAAGCAATTTTGTAGATTATAGTATTTGACTAAGAATTACACTATATTTATTAAGTAGCACTTATGCAGTTGAAATTAAAAATTACACATTGTGCCTTGTACGATTCGTCAATGCCGACGCAAATGGTTCTAAATAAAACTAAATGGACTAAATAAAAGTGGATGGAGGATCATCCATAGGAACTTGCTATAGTAATTAACTAAGTCAAAAGTTGCTGGTACATTTCCTATACAGTGTGTACTCCATGTTTCCAAAATAGAGTTTTCAGACTTGGTATTAGCATTTCTGTTGAATACACGTTTTTGAATCGAAGAAGGCTGATCATCTACGGTACTTTCTACCTTGTCCACAACTTAAGGAGGTACCAAGTTATGAAAAAGGACATCACTAGGAAAGAATAAGATTAATCCATGAGTAGACAGCCTTTCATCCATGTGAAGTCCACTCTGCAAACAGAACTCTGCAGATTCAAAACCTTCAAATACCAGTTTCCACCTACCCCGTCTACCAATTTATTAATTGCTGTTTTGACACCAATTATTTGTCACTTTCAAAATTAATGTGACAGAAAATAATCGAATTACTAATGAAGAGGCCCAACTGCCTTGTAATAGAACAAAATATAAGTGATAATCCCATGATTAATTAGCCTAAACGAAGCGGCCTTGCCTGCTAACGACGCTGTGTTGATGGAAGACGGCGAGACGAATTTGACTCGACCCCCCTAACTGGGCACCTGACATTAATTGGTTGAACAATCGCCTTGTTATAACATGCCACAGCGAGACGTGTGGTACGGTAAATGAGAAATTAAATAGACGTCGTCTTCTGAGGTTCTTTGAGAGATTTAAACATAAAATTACTTGTTTCATAAATTATTGCTGCAAGATAAGTCCTTCTTTATTCTATATTTCAGGATCTTGTTCATAAACTGAAGTTTTATGTGTAGCTCTGAACATTACCGGACCTTCCAGTTTTTGCTCGTTGAGTTCATAGTCTGTATCCTTGATGGTTTGTTTTTCAGAAGCTTAAATTCTACAAGAATATTTTTAGAATATGTCAAAAATAAAGAACAAACCATAGCCTATTTTTGTGACAGTTAATGCACTGATAATTTTGAGCGTGATGCATCTGTGGATTTTTTAGGGTCCTCAGTTTGCTTGCAATATACCGCAACCTTTTACTCCTTATGATAGCAACTGTACTGCCCAATACGATGCCTTAGGTAATTTCATGTCCTTGCTATTTCAAGGCTTGGCCTTGGAAAAAGTACAGCAAAATATATACATTTTTACACTGTTTTCTCACAACACATCCTGTCAACTAAGGCAAATACAGACCTAAAGTGCTTCTGCGTCTCGTTCTGTGCAGTACGCTACGGCGCGTGCGCGGCGCCACTGTATATGACGCATGCGCGATATGACAGGCGCCGCGCAGCCTCTAGCCATTAGCCTCTATCAGCACCTCTAAAAGCCTTTCTTTGTACTCCATATAACTACCGATATTGACCGCCGTGCTGACGAATCAACGGTTATTTATGATCTGACCGTGTGTTTTGACGAATTCACTCGTGAAAGTTCCAGATCGTAAGTTGTGGTTGCTTTCACCTTGTTAATTGCGTGTTTTATGCGATTGGAATTGTGCTGCCGATTGGAATGTATGGAGTTACGATTTGATGACGAGAATGGGCTGATCGTTGTCTATTCAAATCAAGTATGAAATCCGTATTGATTTATGGGCTGAACGTTGGTTTTGCAGTTGCCTAACCTTACCTCCTTCAACTTTTACCACTGACATATCAGATCATTTCCCCCAAAATATAATCCAAACGCAATGAGCTTACATCGGACAGCTTCTTTATCAGATCTGGTTAAGAGTTGGGGCACGACATCGGCTACACGGAGCGAAAGGATTGATTAAGTGGAAAACAATGTAGGAAGGGCGAGGATTAATTATACGATTGACACCTGGACTAACGGCCAGGAAGTTGTCTCTTCCGGACAATTATACAAAACACACGTGCAAGCTCATTTCACGGGCCAATACTCGCCGCTAATGGAATTATAGACAGTACATCGCGTCGCGTCCGGTGAGAAACAACTTCCGCGGCAAAGGGTTGTGGCATTGGAGAAAGTTAGGGGTTCTGATAGTGAAGAATTGATCGGTCTAAGGAGAGATGATTGGGGTTTCAGTTGGAAACTAGGAATTTCGGTCAGCGACAGAGCTGGGGTTTATTTTTCCTGACATAACAAGATTTTGAGTCGAAAGACATTACATTTTCTTAAGCGTTGACTTAATCAACGCTCAATGCTTAAACCCTGGGCTCAATACATTCTACAGTATCATCTTGTCATTGATAGTAAGCGGCGAAATTAAACCAAATTACAAATGACAACTGTGTCTTGAATTGTGTGTCAAAATACTTTTAGACACACCGTTTTACTGCTTATTACCCAAGAAGGCAAAGAATTTTCAATTTTCATCAGATGAATGTACATAAATTAATAAAATCATCTGTAGAATAAAACGTCTATCTTAAGGTGGAAAGATATTATCCAAATGCGGTGATCTCTGATTTCTTAGCATCGCGAGGACATTGCCCTTAAGGCAAGTTCCGGAATCGCAAGGTCGATTACTGATTGCTCACACCAAAAAGTGGAAACCCCTGAAGTCGTAATCCTCTGATCGGTTAGTTTCGGGAAATAGAATCCACAGGAATGGTACTAATCCCCAAACATTTCCTGAACACTGACTCGCCAGACTGAAGGTGAGTCTAGGTAGTGCGTGGCGCTCAATCATTGGCTGTAATTGATTCCAGTGAGTCATTAGACTATTCTGGCTTCAGCTCTACTATCTCTACATTCCTCCGAGGGTGTTCTATATTCCTGGAAACTCCTTCGGTACTCGGACAAAGCATCGTGTTTACTTGAGTGTATATACGATGGAGATGTCACTATCAGAGTCACGTTTTTAAGTTGTGCGTTTGATTTGATACGACGCCGACTCATCGGAACGCGTGTTTTAAGATTACGGAGAATTTGTTTTGTTTAAGGATGCATTTATTCATTAAGTAAATTAATTTTATAATCGTTTTGTTCTTGACTAAATGATCAGTCGGATTATTTACCAAAACCTTAATGCAAAAAGATAGCTGGGTCCAGTTTCGAACTATTAAAAAACATATGACTTCTCTCAGGATCAGACCAAGTCGGATCTTTTCTCTGATTACTACTATCAGTTACCCTACCAATTACCTATCATTATGATACTACTGATTACCTATCAGTTACCCTTCAATTAGATAGGACAGATGATTGTTTTACTACAGTGCAGACATGAACGTTCATCCACGAATACTAAGTTTTTACGTCAGTCATATCCATTCAGTTATATTTTCTGAACACCCGAGGACTCTACTATGTTACACATATTCTTGATTTGGGTTTACTATCTACCTGTTCAGCTATATCCAAAGATGATCATATATTCTTGCGTTGGTGTATGATATTCTGTATATATTTGCTGGTTCTGTTACGGTCCGTTTTTTTTCCAGAACTGTCAAGCACGCCTCCAAGGAGTTCCCCGGAGACGGCTAGCGTGGAGGGCGAGGGAGAGGGAGAGACGACCATGGGGGTGTCAGGGAGAGACGACGATGGAAGCGAGGGAGAGCTCGACGACTTCAACTCCGCGCCGAAGAGGAAGCAGAGACGCTACAGGACTACCTTCACCTCCTTCCAGCTGGAGGAACTGGAGAAGGCGTTCTCCAGGACACACTATCCTGACGTCTTCACTAGGTAAAGTAGAAACAGAGAACCAAACAGATCCAATAAATGGCCATTCATGTATCATATTGAACTGAAAGTATGAATTGGCAAATCTCTTAATGAAAGGGTAACTTCAGCATTCATTTTCTAACTAAAGTAATGATCCTATGAGGAAAACGTGAAGGATAACCCATGTAGATTTGAATGGATGTTGGATTTCGGTTGGAACCTGTGGGACCGTATATACTCCAAGGATGTGTTGTGTCAGAAATTGAAAGTCTGTCAGAAGATTTTTAACATTAATTGTAAAAGGTGGATTTAGAGCTCAAAAATGGCGTCGTGTGGTTGAGGTTGGAACTAGCTTTTTATACGGATGCATCCCATATTTTGGAGTAAAGTTTTGAAACTAGAGATTATAAAGTGGGCCTTCGTACGTCACTCAATAGAGAAGTCAAGACATTGGTAGGTCCTAACGTATTACTAAGGAATAAAATCCTCAATCCGATGGTCCTTTGTGTATTTTAGATTACCTTTATACAATGCTGTCACACCGGAGTACGTATTTTAAGCCAACAATGGATATTTTTTATAAAAGATCATCATTTTGAATGGGATGTAAGCTTTGTTACTGACTTAAGATCAGCCGGTTCTATATCCAGGATCGTTTACGGAAAACACGATGATTATGAGAGCTGGATTTAGTTTAGCTCTATAAAAAAGCTTACGCCTTTCTTAGGATAGAACTGGCGATTTTATACTAGGGGAATTGAGAAAATCGGTCTTAAAATTCCTAAAATTACCACTCAGCTCATTAGTAAACACAGGAAAATGGCGTTCCACTTGTGAAGGTAGCAAAATGCCTAGAAACTTATTCATATAAACTGTCGATAGTGGTACAAATATTTACCAAATTTTCCCAAAGAGACAAAGAAAAAATGTACGGATACAGAAACTAAACTATACTCTCTTCTAATACCAAACACAAAAGCCGCTGATAAATACACATATTTACGTTCCACAAACGTCGTTGCTAGAGAAATGCAGATGAAATATAAATCCTAAATTATCCTAACTTCACCCAGTCTGGCGCCAGGTCATGTTCACCGAATGGAAATGACAAAACCGTCCTCTCCGGCATCTAGAACTTATTCATTTCCCGCGGGTTATTTAATTATCTCATAAATATTTCGTTCGAGTACAGGCGAACAAAAGAATCATGTAGCCAACAAAGTAAGCCATAAATATGTTTGAATGGCGGTAGTAGCGGTGTAGGCGTATTGGGCTGTAAAGTTGGGTGGTTTTGTGCCAAATAGGCGTTCCAATAGCTACCGCCACTGTGCTGTATGAATAATTAACTTGCAAGGCGCTCAATACACGCTGTAGTGTATTGCCTAGGTAGAGAAGCATATCTTCTGTGTATTCTCGGACAATACATGTCAGTACATTAATCTATCACCTCAATTTGTTTATTTTAACAGAAATACAACGGGAATACATTCTTAAGAATGAAGAATGTACAAATAATCAAGTTATCACGCCAAAAGATTTTTAACGATGATTGCGCATTATTAAATACACCCTGGAGTGTATTGCATGTGTATATCTCCTCTGTATTTTTGGGTAATTCAGAATAACATGATTAGATCTCAATAATGTATATGTGTATATTCAGATGTCTGAAATAAGAATTTGTATTAACACCCACAGGTTAACTAACTTTTTAATTTTCCAAATTCCTGTAAAAATACATGGATTTTAGTTTTACCTCGTTCTGTTTACTATTTACTGTTTTTACTCTGAATGATATGAAAGTTGCTGTTATCCTTAATTGTTAGGTATAACCATTGACTATTGGTATAACATAATCTATGGGTTTACATATAATGTTGTGAAAATATGAGTCAATTCCAATCAAGAATCTCTAAATAAAAAAAATTTCCTCACTTATATAACCAAAACTGGATCTCTTTGTTCTCCATAAAACTCACACTACCTCAAGCAGTCAGATGGGGGTAAATTAACGACGCGTCGCGAATTACAAAGTTTAAACCGTATTCTTTTATGATACAAATTAAGCAGCGGTGTAATTTAGGGCCAAATTAAAGCTGTCAAGCGCCAACCCATCGAGGTAGACTTCTGGAGTGATCGCGCCCGTGTTGAAGCGAACCGTTTTTCGGTCCGGCCGCGAGTAGCTGTGAGCAGCCCGTGGTAGGCAAGAACGCCAGCGCTAAGATGGGCGGGATAGGGAAAATCGCGACGCGCGCCTACTTTTATTTTGTTTCCAGACGACATGATTTTTTTAGGACAAATGAACGATTGAATTGTATTCTCTAATAGATTGTGGTTCTTTCGGAATTAATTTCATTCTTACTTTCACATCAGGTATATTTTTAAAACACGATTAACTTCAACTTTTAGTGTAATTTTCTTGTCAGTGACATGTTTTATTTTATTTTATTAAAAACAAATTGGAATATTTCCCTAACACATTCGTATAATATTTTTAAACATTTTTTGGCTTTTGAAATAAATTTGGATAGAGGGTCATAACAGTCCAATTAGCTCCATTTCTTACGCAGTTTTGTGGGAATCTGAAAAACAATGCACTTACAATCTGTGAAACTCCTTAAACTCGGGAAAAGTAGTATAAATTTTGAAAAAGCTACATTAATTGCAAGTAGATTATTACTTGAGCTGGTCTCAAAACAACAATAATAAAAATAAACGAAATAAAAATTTTCCGTTTGGATTGCACAATTTTCGAGGGACAGCCGGGCGTTGTAATGGTCAAAATTTGCTATTAACGCTTATTATTTCCAATCTACTATAATTTAAATTAAGTAAATAGGAATTTGTTTCAATAACACTTGAAATATTATTCAAGACATTAAACCTATAATTTTTAACAATATATCCGAAAACTTTGTATTTATTTACCTGTGGAATCCGATGGTCGTCCCCTTTGCTTGCCTATTTGTACAATTAATAGCTGCACAGGATGTTACCATCTTAGAACATTGGGAACATTTTAAAACTGAAAGTCCAGTGCATTAAAATATCAACAAACGATGGCAGAGATGATAAGACGCCCAACTCAAGTGTGCGCTGCTCGTAAACAAACAAAAAACATCTCGATCCTATCAATGCCTGGCAATGCTACCACTGCATTCACGAAAAATCCCAGATTTCGGGTTGTCATTCATGAAATTTACCCGTAAAAATCTCCAAATATTCTTCTTGTTTTTAAAGTATGGCAAATAATCAATTTGATTTGAATGAACATTGGTCGTTTGTATAGCTGAAAACAAATTTATAAATTTAATCTTAAACTTGATTGTTAATTTTACTCCTAAAGCACATGTGGAAAGGAAAGTATGTATTTTCGATAAGATCCTATATAAATACTTATTAATAAACGTTCTAGATTGTTTTCTGAAAATGCATATCGACAAAGCTACACAACCGGGACCGGGTACAGCTCGGCCAAAACTTCTGTGCGCGTGGACGGGTCGCTACTAGCCGAACTAAAACATACGGGCACCGGCTATTGGCAGTGCTGGGGGTAGTGGTGAGTGAGTAGCAAGACACAAATGTTTTCACAAAAGTACCCCCGCCAACCCCCTCGCCTAGACTGCCTAGACTCAACCAGATCTGGTCGCGCGCACAGAAACTTTGGCCGACCTGTACTCCGGGAGTGGCCGCGCGGTGGCGGCGCGGTACCGTCCCACGCTCGTTTCCAAACGATTTAATAATGACGCAATCATTTTATCACAAATTGGTTGATTTGAAAGTTAAGATCAACTCATTGGCTACAACTTTCCCGCTAGAAGTTTGTTTGTAACCCAAAAATAAAAATTTTCCTCCCTTAGTGACTTTTCCATGTCAGTCTCTGGTAAGTCTTCTATATTTTCAATTATTAAAATTCGAAATAATTATTACAATAAAAGATATTTATACTGTCAGAATCCGATGTTTATGTAGATTAAGAATATATAAGTTTTATTTGACTGGAGCTTTTCCGTTGAGCTACAACAGCGAGTAAACTGCAGCGCGCACGATACTGAAATACGCCCGAATTCGTTCTTGCCTACCACCGCTTTCCAGCACGGACCGTTTTTGCCCCATTTAGCGATCACTCCAGAAGTCTACCTCGATGCGCCAACCACGAGCCGTGTGACGGACAACCGAGGGGTTTTGAAATTCAAACAGCCCAACAAGTGTGTAATTTAATTTCATTAAAATTATGCAAAATGTGAGCGCGCTATTCAAATTGCATTAGAGAGATCCGTCTTTGTATCAAGATTCTGGAGTTATCAGATAAGTGGATGTAATACTGCTTCCGCCCGCACCGCCATTGACACGTTCAAGGTTGCGGTTTACGCCACTACTGACGATTCCACGTACGTTTGGCGACCATGGCCAACTTGACCAAATTAGATTAAGGGGTGTAGTACTGCTTCCGCCCGCACCGCCATTGACACGTTCAAGGTTGCGGTTTACACCACTACTGACGATTCCACGTACGTTTGGCGTCTATGGCCAACTTGACCAAATTAGATTAAGGGGTGTAGTACTGCTTCCGCCCGCACCGCCATTGACACGTTCAAGGTTGCGGTTTACGCCACTACTGACGATTCCACGTACGTTTGGCGTCTATGGCCAACTTGACCAAATTAGATTAAGGGGTGTAGTACTGCTTCCGCCCGCACCGCCATTGACACGTTCAAGGTTACGGTTTACACCACTACTGACGATTCCACGTACGTTTGGCGTCTATGGCCAACTTGACCAAATTAGATTAAGGGGTGTAGTACTGCTTCCGCATGCACAGCCTACAACGTTTCAGTTAAAAGGTAACTAAAAATTGCAGGTGCATTTGGCAGTTCTGTCCTTCGTACAATTCAATTTCACTTCTCACTAGTTGTGTAGTACTAATTTAATACGCAAAACGATTCTCATCGTCAAGATTGTAGTTTACGGAACCACTGACGATTTTTCGTATGGTGAGGTTTTATCCCCACTAGTACAAT